GCAAACTCTTTCCTGTTATCTGAGTAATTATTTCTGATTTCATTTTTCCCAGATCCTCTTTTGTTGCCAGTTCAGAGAGTCCAGGTGGTTGAGTATTAGAGTGTTCCATCCTGTTTCCCTTTGGGGTTGCTGTAGGTGATCCAGAAGTCTGTTTTTGAGGCACGTTTATGTGTCTTCTCATTTCCATGGTGGGGGGGGTGCTTCTGGCACCCACGCGGCTCACCTTCTCTGCCCTAGGACCTTGGGATGGCAGTGGGGGAGCTTCTTTAGGGGTGCTGGGACCAGCTGAGCTTCACTCCCCTAGGAGCCTGGGATGGAGGCAGGGAGCTTCTTCACGGGTGCTGGGACAAGCTGAGCTTCACTGCCCTAGGACCCTGGGATGGCAGTGGGGGAGCTTCCTTCCAGGTGCTGGGACAGCTTGATGCTACTTTTTATCATTTGATACCTATGGAATCAAGGTAGCCCAAGAGAGACTTGGTTCATAGGCGTGATTTAAATCATGAAACCTATAGGATACCAACATATTTGTTAAAAGAAGTATGCAGAGCAGGTAGGAATGTAGAGATGAACTTTCTCAGCATCATCTCCATAGGAGAATGTAATCACAATCAAAAATTCTCTTAGCCAGGTGTGGTGGCACATGCCTGTAATCCTAGCACTTGGGAAGCTGAGGCAGGAGGATTGCTGTGAGTTCGAGGCCAGCCTGGGCTACACAGTGAGTTGAAGGACAGCCTGAATTCCATAGCAAGACCCTGTCTCGAAAAACCAAAAAAAAAAAAAAAAGTTCTCTTACAGCAAAATGAGAACAAAGAGAATGGGTTGATCTTGATATATAAGGTTACCAAAAATAACTATAATAATTAACATTGTTTAAGCACTTACTATGTACTAGATACACTAGGTACTGTTCTAATACTTCCCCCTTTCCTCCTGACAGCATATTGTTAGCCTTAGTTTACAGGTGAGATGTCAGTGGCCAGGCCCCATGTGGTTCTTGGCGCCCTGGTCCTGGCACCACAGCACCCTACTGGCAGATACTCTGGGCACATACTGCTCTGAGCATACCTGGAGAGCTTCTGATTATCTTCTATGTTCATGTTTCCCTTCTTCTACAAACCATATCATTCATGTCCTTCTCAAACTATATCATAGCTCTGACAGTTTATAGATTGGAAACTGTGACTCACATTTGTAATCTGCTAAGGGTCACACAGCTAGGAAGTGGCAAATCCAGAGCTCAAATACAAACCTGTGATCAAAACAGTTTTATTGTTGTGTCTTCCAAATAAAATGTAGCCTAGATAAGTGAACCTGACATAGTGATTAAGAGCTCAGGCTTAGAAGTCTTAAAAGATCTGGCTTCACATCCCAATTCTACAAATTTGTTTTCATGTTCCTTCTCTTCTCTGAGCCTCAGTTTCCTCAACTATAAAATGAGCTTCAAAACAGCAAACATTTAATGAGGTAGTTGTGAGTATTAATGAGCTAATTCATGAGAAGTTTTCAGTGCTTCTTATGTGGGTGGGTTACAGGCCCTATGCACAGGGTAAGCGGTTGCTGAATGGCTAATGCTGCCACCACTGTTTCTATTTCTTTTGTTTTCTTTTTGTTTGTTTGCTTTGTTTTATTTTGTTTTTTTGAGACAGGGTCTTACTATATAGTTCAGGCTGGCCTTGGATTCACAATGTAGCCCAACCTGGCCTCCAACTCCTGCTTTAGCCTCCTGAGTGCTGGGATTACAGGTGTGTGCCATCATGCCCCACCACTGTTTCTATTTCTACAAAAGAAGCAGAGCCAGCTCTGAGTGAGATACGAACCAGATACAAGCTGTGTAGCTATAATATTTGAAGGGATGCAGTTTCAGTCCTATTCCTAAATGGGATATCTTTTCTTAAATGTCTCAAGCTCTATAATTGGACCTTTCATATTCCTGAGCCTATACTGTATTTAATAAACATGTACATGCCAGAAGCTTATTAATTTTTACTTAGCTGTGGAATATGGTAAGGATTATTCTGCCAAACTTGGTTCTAAAACCCAGACAGTGCTCTAATTACAGCTCTGATGTATGCCATTTGTAGAGCATTTTTCCTGGATAAAGAAAATAAGCAACTACAGGAAAAGCATTTCCATCTCATGCAGCAAGTTGTCCTCTTAGAGCACAGTTTATGGAGCATCCAGATAAAAGAGGTAGGATGTGTACTTTTTATTGGGTCCTTAATGTGAAGCTTCAGTTGCTAAATTTGCTTTGCTTTCTCATCATCTTCATATTGCTGTAGCCCTGCTCTCAGCCTCATAGTGGGCTGTGACCCTTAGACTGCTGCTCTTCATTGGGCCAGCTTTTATTAACACTCTCTTAATGCGTGATCCCAAAGCAATTTGTGTTATATCTCTGAGCATTTTCCTTGACACACTATATTGCCATTGTTTTTCTTTTCTTTTCTTCTCTATCTCATTAACTCAGCAGTGAGACCCCAGAGAGCAAGAACTGCAGCTCATTTATCACTCTGTGGACAAGTGCTCCATAAATATTGGAGAATGGATGGACATTAAATGTTTTCATACATATATTTATATATATATATATATATTCCTCGTTCTGAACAACACTGTTTGCAATGTTTCACGCTAGGCAGACTTGAAAAGAAGGATGAACAAATGTGAGGCTCAGAGAAATAAAGGAAATCTAGACTAGTTTGGTAATGAGTTACGACTAAGGACAGCATCTGAGTCAGAGAAAATCAGTTATGTTCCAACAGTTCAGAAAGACAAGAAGGTAAGTTCAGAGAAACGCAGAAGATAATACAGTTTCAGAGAAAGTCCAGAGTCTGGCTGGTGAGCAAGTCAGAAAGAAGGACTTCCATGAGCAGAAGTATACTCTGAATGTGGTGTAGAGGTGGTTTCTTTCCTTCCTTGGTTTTTTTTGGGGGGGGGGGCAGGTACCGGGGATCAAACTTGTGACCTTGCGCTTTCGAGGCAGGCACCAGAACCACTGAGCTAAATCCCCGGCCCTCCTTTCCTGGTTTGTATCAGATGGAAAACATTCCTTCCTGAGCTACTTCACAATGGATCCTGCTTCTTGGGCACTATTGCTATGAGTATAAGACTTGCATTTTGTTTTGTCTTGGAAAGATAGTTATTTCAAGCTTTGTGAGTTGTTTAGAAGGTTTTAACAAAAGTAGAACTCACTGACATCTTCAAACCTTTCAAACTCTTCCCTCAAACTGATTCCAAAGGCTTCTGAAACACATGTGTCTTATTACTTTTCTCGTTGCAGAGACAAAAATACCTGACACCCAAAGTTAAGGAGGAAAGGTTTATTTAGCTCACAGTACAGAGAGGTTTCAGTTCATAGCTGGCTGGCTCCAAGTGCAGAGTGGCATCAAAGAGGAGAAACAGTTCATGATGGCAGAAGGGAGAAGCAGGCCAGGGATATAAACCCTACAGACCATGCTCTCAGTGATCTGTTTCTTCCAACCAGACCCCGCCTCCCAATAGCAATTCAGCTCTAATACGTTCATAATCCAATTACTCTTCAAAAGCCCTTCCTATGAATGCATGAGACTTTGGAAGAACATCTAGATACAAACCATAACAGTAGGCAACTCTGCAGATGCAGAAAGTAGATTAGTGGTTTCCTAGTAGTGAGAGGTTAAAGGCCATGGGATTTATATGGAGGGTGATGAAAATTTTTTGTGTGTGTTTTGGGGTTTTTTTTGTTTTTTTGGTACTGGGGATTGAACTCGGGTCTTTGTGCTTGTGAGGCAGGCGGTGGAACCACTGAGCTAAATCCCCGGCCCCCTGGATATGTTTTAAAATTCACTGTGGTTGGTGTCTGCCTTGCAAATGCAAGGTCCTGAGTTCGATCCCCGGTACCAAAAAAAAAAAAAAAAATTCACTGTGGTGATACTTATACAACTCTTCAAATAATACTACTAAAAACCACTGAGTTATGTGCTTTAAGTGGGTGAATTATATAATATGTAAATTATATCTCCATAGTCAGTACAAAAACAAAGATTTTTTTGTGGTACAGAGAACTGAATCTAGGGCCTTCAGGCTGGGCTATATCTTTAACCCTTTTTTATTTTTTTATTTTGAGACAGAATTTCACTAAGTTGTCTAGGCTGGACTCAAATTTGATACTCCTGCTTCAACCACTCATACAAAAATAAAATGGTTTTTTAAAAAAAAATAAAAGGTTGTTAGAGATGAAGTAGAATAATGCACATAAATTACCTAGTACAGTTTTTGACAAAGAGTTGGCATCCAGGAATGATAGCTTCTACCTCTCAATGCACATACATTAACTTGTTTGTTTGTTTGTTTGTTTGAGACGGGTTTCCCTATGTAGTTCAGGCTGGCCTTGAACTCACTATGTAGCCCAGGGTGGCCTCGAACTTGTGGTGGTCCTCCTGCCTCAGCCTCCCAAGTGCTGAGATTATAGGCATGTGTCACCACGCCTGGCTATACTTTTTCTTATATTAAACATTTATTGAGTTTCTGCCGTTTGTTAGATTATATTTTCACATCAATCCTGAAAAACTGGATATTAACTGTTATCCTCACCTTAGAGTTGTAGGAACCCAAATTCAAACAGGTGAAGAGACATGTCATAATCTAGCTGATAGAGCCAGAATTCAAGCTTAATGAAATGAAAGCATCCAAATAAGAAAGGTGCTGGGTATGGTGGCTTTCACCTATAACCCTATCACTTGAGAGGCTGAGGGAGGAGGATCAGAAGTTTGAGGTCATGTGGGGCTACACAGTGAATTCAAGGCCAGCCTGGACTACAAAGTAGGATCTTGTCCAAAACAAAGAAGGAGGAGGAGGAAGAGAAAGAAAGAAAGGGATGGGGAGGGGGAAGAGGAGAGAAGAAGGAGAAGGAAGTGTAATTGCCACTGTTTGCTGATATACTCTAACATGTAGAAATCCCTCAATATTCCACCAATAAAACTCTGTTAGACCAAATAAACAAATACAGTAAAGTTGCAGGATACAAAATCAACACAACAAAAATCAATAGTACTATTGTATATACCAACAATGAATTTTCTGAAAAATAAATCAAGAAAATCACACTTATAATGCTATCAAAAAATAATTAACAACTGGGTGTGGTGGCGCGTGCCTGTAATTTCAGCACTTGGGAGGCTGAGGCATGCGGATCACCAAAAGTCCAAGATCAGCTTGGGCTACATAGTGAGTTCAAGACCACCCTGAACTGCATAGTGAGACTTTAAATTATTATTTATTATTATAAATTACTATTTATTATTATTAAAAATAATAGGAATAAATTTAGCTAAAGAAGTGAAAGATCTTGTACATGGAAAACCAAAAAGCTTTCATTAAAAACTTGAAAAAGACACAAATAAATGGAAATATATTAGTGCTCACGGACTGAAAGAATTAGTATTGTTAAAATATCCCTATTTCCCTATGCAATACTCAGATTCAGCCCAATCCCCATCCAAAGCCCAATGTCATTTTTACCCAAATAGAAAAAAAATCCTAAAATTCATTTGGAACCACAAAAAGCCCTAAATATCCAAGACAAACCTTGAGTATAAAGAACAAAATTGGAGGCCTCATACCACCCGATTTCAAACTATAATACAGAGATATAGTAACTGAAACAGCATGATTACAAATGACCAACAGATACCTGAAAAAATGCCCCACATCACTAATCTTAGGGAAATATAAATTAAAACCACAGTGATGTATCACCTCATACCTGTGAGAAAAATAAAAGATAGTAAACATTGATGAGGACTCGGGGAAACTTGTACCCTTGTATACATTGGTGGGAATAATACAGCTATTATGGAAAATTAATACAGCCATTATATAAAACTGTATGGAAGTTTCTCAAAAACTAAAAGTAGGATTACAATATAATCCAACAATCCTCCTTCTGGTTATATAACTAGAGGATTTTTAAATACACACATGCTGTATTTATTTTAGCTTATTCATGATAGCCAAATTATAGAATCAATCTAAGTCCATCAATGGATAAATACACAAAGAAAATGTATATATACACAGTAGAATACTATTCAGCCTTTAAAAGGGGAAATTCTGTAATTTGTACCAACAAGGATGAACTGAAAGGGAATTATGTTAAGTGAAATAGTCAAGCATGGAAAAATAAGTACTACTTATTGTCACTTATATGTGGAATCTAAAGCAAGCAAACTCATAGAAGGAGAGAACAGAATGGTTACCAGAGGCTGGAAGATGGGAGAATGGGGCAATATTGATCAAAATGTATAGTTTTAGTTAAACAGGAGGAATAAATAAGTATGAGAGGTGTTGCATATGTTAATTAGCTTAATTCAGTCATTCTACATTGTGCACATATATCATCCATCATACCCCATAAATATATACAAATATAATTTGCCAATATTGGTAACATTTTTTGTTCTTGTTTTTTTGAGATAAGGTCTCATTACATAGTTCAGGCTCCCATCAAACTCATTATGTATAGCAGGCTGACATTAAATTCACAATCCTTCTCCCTCAGCCTTCCAAGTGCTGGGATTACAGGCATATGCACCATGCCAGGCTTCTAGTAAAATGTTTTAAATCATTCAGACTAGCAATATCCAAATATTCATGTCTTTGCATATACATACTCATGGCAGCAGCTTTATTCATAATAACAAAAAAGTGAAAACAACCCAATCTACATTGTTAATGAATTGATAAGCAAAATGTTCTGTTCATAAAATGGAATATTATTTAGACATAAAAAGAAATGCAGCAAGGCACAGTGGTGCACGCCTGTCATTCCCAGCACTCAGGAGGCTGAGACAAAAGGATCACTGCAAGTTCTAGACCAGCTTGGGCTACACAGTGAGTTCAAGGCCAGCCTGATTTACATAATGAGACCTTGTCTCAAAAAAAAAAAAAGAAGTACTGATACATGCTACAACATGAATGAAACTTGAAAGCATGCTAATGGTTTTGGTTTTTGTTTGGTACCGGGGGTTGAACTCAGGTCCTTGCGCTTGCGCAGCAGGCAGTGAAACCACTGAGCTAAATCCCGGGCCCGCATGCTAATGTTTATAGAAACCAGAAACGAAAGGCTACATATTGTATAATCACATTTATATGAAAAGTCCAGAGTAAAAAATCCAAAAAGACAGAAAGTATAGTAGCAATTGCCAGGGTCTGGGAGGAAAGAGGAACAGACAGGTGAATGATCATGGGTTTGGAGTTTTGCAGGGGGAAGGGTGTGATGAAAATTTTCTGGAATTAAATAATGGTGACAGTTGCATAAGTCTGAATATAGAAAAGTACTACACTGAACATGTTAAGAGTTATGTGCTATTATGTGAGTTACTTGTCATTGAAACTCTTATTTAAAAAGAAAAAAAAAAAGAATAACACCAAGTACACCTGTAATACTAGCATTCCAGGAGGCTGAGGGGGTTGGGGACTTAGCTCAGTGGTAGAACACTTGCCTAGCAAGTGTGAGGCCCTGGGTTTGGTCCCCAGCACCAAAAAATTTTAAAACCAAAAAGCAAAAAAAAAAAAAAAGATGCTTCTATTTCCAAAATATATATAACAAAGGAAAGAAGCAAGATACAGTGTATAGGACTATGTGTGCAGGTAGGCAGACAGATCTACATAGATTATATAGGTTTTATTTTATTTACTTTTTTTGGTACTGGGGATCGAACTTGGGACCTTGCGCTTGCGAGGCAGGTGCCGGAACCACTGAGCTAAATCCCCGGCCCTTATATAGGTTTTATATATGGAAGGAGGGAGAGAGAGAGACTGGTAGACTTACAGAGCAGGTGAGAAAACAAGCAACTTTTCATTCTATCTCTTTTATGTTTTATTGTTTGTAGTATGGGCAAATATATGTATTTTTCATAATCTGTATCTGTATCTACATATTACAAGTTCTAGGCTCACATTGCCAATGGTTTATCATTATAATATTTAATATTAAACCTTTCTTTCCTTTCAGGAAACAATTAGTGACATTCCTCAGCTTGAATTATTGAATAAAATACTGCCTTCACCAAACTCTAGGTTAGTAAAATCAAGATAATCATCTGCATCCCTGAGAGTCATAGCTGCTAACTAGTTCTAAATTCCTGGATTGAGAAAGCACGGGGCGGGGGGGGGGGGCTTTCTACTTTTAGTATTTGAATTTTCTCCCAATTCCTTCTCCCCTTGCTACCCCTTTGCCCTCACATTCTACAGAATTCTGATTTAAGGTAGGAGATAATCCACAAGCATAGGTTTAAGTTTTATTTGGTTTGACTGTTTCGTTTGTGCTTGACAGTTATAAAAAGGTGAAATCCTATCAATACCATACTCCTGCAAGCCCAAATATCTACCAAGCAATCCTACCCATATGATGTCCTCACATATGATCTTTCTCAGTTCCTCAGGAATAGGTTTGGTAGAGTCAGCTGGAAGTCTTCAAGAAAATGAAGAACATAAGCCAGAAGCAGCAACGACAATCCCAGAGTCCCCTGCGTCTCTTTCCCATTCACAGAATTCTGAAACTGGATACATAAATGTGGCTTCTCTGAAACAGACACACAGCGTACAAGAACAAGACCAAAAGTCAAAACTATAAAATCACTGGTGACTGAGACTATACTGATCAAAACCTGCTAATTTAAAGCTTGGACACAAACGTGGACTATGATACGGAGAAGAGTTTCCACAGATCTCAGATCTCTAGTAGACAGCAACCAAGAGTCTTCAAAATTGCTGATAAATTCATTAAACAATTTCTAAAAGCTGGGGATTTAGCTCAGTGGTTCTGGTGCCTGCCTTGCAAGCGCAAGGTCCCAAGTTCAATCCCTGGTACCAAAAAAAAAAAGAGTAGAACAATTTCTAAAAATAGATTTCTCAAGTTTGTTTGATATCCTCAGATGCTTTGTATTGCTCAATGTAGTGATTTAAATTCAATGATTTAATTAGGCTTCTCTTCAGCAGAACACATTATGGTTAACTCAGCATTCCATCTAATTATTATGGATAGTTTTTGTATTTAATTATTATCTAAAAGTAAAAATAATGTATTTTTTAAACAAAAAAAGTCCTATAATTTTACTTTTTTTTTTTTTTTTTTTGGTAGTACTGAGGATTGAACCCAGAGCCTTCACACTGAGCTATATCTCTGGCTCATTTTATTTTTTACTTTGAGATAGGGTCTAAGTTGCTAAGTTTCCCAGGCTAGGCTCAAACTTTTGATCCTCCTGCCTCAGTCTTGTACAGTGCTGGGATTACAGGCATGTGCCACCACATCTAGCCCTATAATTCTACATTCTTAACTATTTTCATTTTCGTTATTTTCATTTTCTTTTTTTCTGGTACCGGGGATCAAACTGAGGACCTTGTGCTTGCCAGGCAGGTCAGGCGCTACTGAGCTACATCCCTGTATCCCAGAGTTATTTTCATAGTCTGATTTCATTTCATTTCATTTTTGGCAGTACTGGGGATCAAACCCAGAGCCGCATGCATCCTGAGATTCCTGAGTTTGAAGTATTGAATATAGCCCCAGCCGTAGTTTGATTTTTTTTTTTTTGCCGTAGTCTGATTTTTAATTTAATACATCATGAAAACATTGCCAATAGCCATGTGACATTCCATCATGTTGATGCCATATAAATTACTTAGCCCTTCTTTATTTTTTCTGCTGTTCTAAAATTTTTTATACAGATCAGTGGGTTTCATTTTAGCAGATTCATACATGCTCATAACATACTTTGATCATTTCCATCCCCCCATCAACCTCCCTGCTAGTTTCACATGGTGGGGGGTTGACACATATATATTCTGCTCATATCCATCCTCCCTATTGCCCATTCTCATACCCCCATCCTCTTATTCTATTCCTCTTATTCCCTTCCAGAAGGGATAGTAGTATCCCTTCTGCTTTCTTAGCATCTTTTTTAGATTCCACACATTAGGAGAACATGAGATATTTGTCTTTGAGTCTGACTTATTTTGCTCATTGTGCCTCAATAAACACAGGTATACAGGTAACCCCATAGTATACTGAGTTTAATTTCTTCAAGTATATACCAAAGAGTGGTATAGCTGGAGGGAGCAAAGGTAGCTATACTTTGTTTTTGGGGTTTTGTTTTTGTTTTTGAGAAACTTCCTACTGATTGCCACAGTAGTCATACTAATTTGCATTCTACCAACAAAATAGACAGGTTCCATTTTCCTGGATCCTCACCAGTATTAACTGATGTTTTTTCCTTCAGCAATGGGGAGTAGACCCGGGGCTTTTGCACTGAGCTACATCCCCAGCCTTTTTTATTTTTTATTTTTATTTTGAGACAGTGGTACAGGATTTTTATGTAGAAAGGGGACACCAAGGCCTTTTTTCCAGGAAGCAGGTTTTTTTGTGCCAGCACTGACTCAGCAGATCCGTATCCAAAGGCTGAGTGCCCAATATAACATAGTTGTACCTTTTTATACAATTTTTGTGTCTCTGTCTCCCTTATATAGGCATACACTAACATTTTACGTCTGGTTTGGTATACATTAACATTCTGCTGTCTGATTGGGTATGACTTATGCTAGATTTACGTCAGAACTACACATGCTACACAGACGCTATCGCTACACTGTAAAAAGTTCCCACCCCAGAAAGGGACACTACCACAAGGTTCCACTAAATTGCTAAATTGCCCAAGCTGGGCTTGAATTTAGGATCCTCCTGCCTCAGCCACCCAGAGTGTTGAGTTGCAGGTGTATGCTACCATGTTCCACATGTTTTTTGTATTCTTGATGGTAGCCATTCTGATTGGGGTAAGATGGAATCTCAATGTAGTTTTGATTTGTATTTCCCTACTGGCTAAAAATAGGAACTTTCTTCATATATTTATTACTGGCCAGATGCAGTTCTTTTGAGAAGTGTTTGTTCATTTGCTTATTTATTGATTAGGCTATTTGATGTTTTTGTTGAGCTTTTGTTTTTGGGGGTTTTTTTGGTACGGGATCAGTGAGTTCTTTATATATTCTACATAACCCTTTGTTGAAAGATTAACTTGTAAAGATTTTTTTCCATTCTGCAAGCTGTCTTTTCACTCTATTGTTTGCTTTGCTGTGCAGAAACTTTTTAATTTGATATAGTCCTGTTTAAGTCTTGCTATTATTTCCTGTGCTACTGGAGTCCTATTTAGGAAGTCTTTGCCTATGCCTGTGGATTCAAATGTTTTCCCTATGTTTTCTTCTAGTAGTTTTAAAGTTTCAGGTCTTATACCTAGGTCTTTCATCCATTTTGAATTGATTTTTGTGCGGGGTGAGAGATAAGGATGTAGTTTCAACCTTTTACATGTGGATATCCAGTTTTCCTAGTACCATTTGTTAAAGAGGCTGTCTTTTCTCCAATGCATATTTTTGGTTCCTTTGTCCAGAATCAGAAGACTGTAGTTATGTCGTTTTTTAAATTTTTCCTGTGTCATCTATTCTTGTCCATTGGCCTACATGTGTATTTTTGTGCCAGTATTATGCTGTTTTTGTTACCTTAGTTTTACAGTATGATTTGAAATCAGGTATTGTGGTGTCTCTAGCCTTGTTCTTTTTACTTAGGATTGCTTTGGCTATTCTGAGTCCTTTGTGTTTCTATGTAAATTTTAGGATTGTTTTCTCTAGTTCTGTGAAGAATGTCATATTTTCATGGGGATTGCATTGAATCTGTAGATCACTTTTGGAAATATGGCCATTTTGACTATTAATTCTGCCCATCCATGAATATGGGAGGTCTTGCCATCTTCAGTTGCCTTCAACTTCTTTCTTCAGTGTGCTGAAATCTTCATTGTAGAGCTCTTTCACCTCCTCAGTTAGAGTCATCCTTAGGTATTTTATTTATTTATTTAATTTGGGGGGGGGCGGGTACCAGGGATTGAACTTGGGAACTTGCGCTTTTGAGGCAAGTGCTGGAACCACTCAGCTAAATCCCTGGCCCCGGTATTTTATTTTTTTGAAGTTATTGTGAATGAAGTTGATTTCCTGGGAGTTTTTTTCCCAGCTGGCCCATTATTGGTGTTTAGTACAGCATTTAAGTGTCGAGTCTGTATTCTGCTACATTGCTAATTACATTTACATGCTCTAAAAGGTTTTTTGGTACAATTTTTAGGGTCTTTTAAGTGTAGGATCATATCATCTGCAAACAAGCATAATTTTACTTCTTCCTTTCCTATTTGGATTCCTTTTTTCTTTTGCCTAATTGCTCTAGCTAAAATTTCAAGAACTATATTGAGTCAGAGTGGTAAGAGTAGACATCTTGCCTTGTTCCTGACGCTTAGCCCTTCTCTTGTTATTTGACTTTTTAATTCTATTTAAGATTATGCTATTTTAGTATAATCTGATGAAGGTCTAGAGCATGTATTTCTTTTCTTCTCTTGAGTTACTCCAGAAAACAAATTCACAAGATTGGCATTGGATATCAATGTTAATATGGCTCTGGTACCGTCACTTATTGTATTGCTTTAAAATGGCTTCCCTAAGGCCTCAATTTCTTAATAAAAGGGAATAACAATACCTATCCCATAGGATTGTGAGACCCAAATGAAACAGAAGTATGTAAAGTTTTTAGCACTATTAACTGCTTAATGCTGGCTATCATTTATTTTCACTAGTAGTTTATGAGTGGACTAGTTTTTCCACAACCTCATCAACATCAGATATTCTCAATTTAAAAATTTTATTGTAAGGGCCAGGGATTTAGCTCAAATGGCGCTGTGCCTACCTTGCAAGTGCAAGGTCCTGAGTTAGATCCCTGGTAACTGCAAAAAAAAAAAAAAAAAAAAAATCAATCAATAAAAATTTTATTTTAAAACAGTGGGAATAAAACTATACTGAAAGATGGACTGTTGTTCCACGGCCTTCCTCCTTTCCTTATTCTCCTCTTCCTTCATCTTCAGTTAGAGATAAGAAGACCAAATTAAAAAAAAAAAAACTGGACCTTTAAATTAAGGCACGTTGAATTTTTTTTAATTTTTTTGGTACCAGAGATCGAACTTAGGACCTTGGGCTTGCAAGGCAGGTGCAGTGCCACTGAGCTAAATCCCCACCAGGCACCCTGAATTTTTATAGGTAACCCTTGCTTATCAGACCACTAGAAAGGATGATCAAAATATACAGAAAATAATTGCTATTATATCAAACCCATGCCAAGATCACCCTCTCAGCTCAATCCATTGACTCTTATTTATTGAATACCCTCATATTTATTGAATACTAGACACTGCAGCTACAGCTGTGAACAAGACAGACTAGGGGAGTCTCTACCTATGGAGTTTACATGCCTGGGGGGGGCGGACAGGAAATGATCTATGGAGCTAGATCATATAATTTTGAATGGTGAGCAATATGAAGAAAAATCAATGATCTGAGTGACAAAGGGCGACTTTTAGTTTGGGTGCAAAGTTGCCTCTGTAGAGATGACATCCAGGCTCAGCCATCAAAGACAAGGAGTGAGGCAGGAGACTATGGTGTGGCAAAGCTGGCTAGGGAAATAGGCATAACATGTTAATTACAAAATCCCTGGCACAGAACAATTCCTAAAGCCCTGCATCCACACTTCTTGTGAGAACTTGAGCAGGCTTTCCACAAGTAGGCCTAGACCTGACCAAGGAGAAGTACAAAAGGACAGTGGACATCGAGCTTCTGTTACTGTGATCTCTCACTGGAGACGAGACCACTCTCCTCCTGCATAGTGTATTTTCCTACTTTTACTTGGCCCAAACTCATCTGCACAGCCTGGTTTACCCCCCG